AAAAATTAGCAGTAGCTATTTAGTAGGTAATCCGGAACCTACCAAAATTTTTAATATACAAGACAGTAAATGGACACGTAATTCTAATACTAGAAAGTCTAGAATTGAAATAGTAAAATATATTATTTTTTATAAAACCTTTACATTAATATCCATGGCATGACATTAAATGTAGTATATCAACAAATCAAATATTTTGCTACATTGGGTACAATGACAACATGAAGAATTAGTATAACAACATGCATCAGATTGTAGTAGAACAATGACTAAAACAAAATACATAAATAAAGCACATCACATCAATTTCCCCTCAACCCTTTATATCTCCCAAGCACTTCACATTCAAATCTTTACATCACATCAATCCACTTTATAATTTCATCATCACATTACTCTAGTTCCCTCAAGCCTCTATATTGATACGTCTTGGAGACAAATACAACAAACATAATGAAAAAACTGCATGAACATGAATATAGATGGCTGATTTTTTATTATAACTTCAATAAAAAAGAAAGATGCAAGCAATCTACAATTCAAGAGGTAGATCAGCTCTCCCAAACAACCTAGACGCGGCTAGGAAGCCCTAATGAAAAAGAAAAAATTACAGCAACTCTCAAATAAAATTGTACATAAAGAGAACAAATCCTAAACTTAGCCTTAAATAAGCTTCTCATATTTCCCTCCTACCCTCCTAATTCAACCCCCTACCACCCCCCGCCTTTTCCTAATATATTTCCCTCTCTAATTTGAATTTTAATTAGGAAATCCTTCTTAAATCAGCCCCCACCCCTCTTTCCTAATATATTTTCCTCTCCAATTTGAATTTCAATTAGGAAATCCTCCTAATTAATCCCTTACTTAATTCCTCTTCTCACATATGTAATGATAGGTTAATGGGCCCCGCAAGGGGGGTCAAATCCCTTGCCATGTCCACCCCTGGCATGCTACCCTCTCCTGTATCAATACTCCCCTCCACAAAATGCACATTGCCCTCAAGGTGAAAGATAGGGAACTGTCTCCTGATTTTCTCGTATGACTCTCATGTAGCATCATGCTCTTGAAGATCTTTCCACTTGATTAGCACCTCATGTGCCCCTTTCTCCTCTCTGCGCACACCTGCTACTTCCAGAGGTTTCAAAATGATCTCCATGTCTTCTATCAAAGTTGAGGGTAGAGACGATAGTGTATCCTCTCCTATCGCATTCCTCTGTTTTGAGACAAGAAAGACTAGGTGCAAAGCTAATGAAGGTAGTAGCCTTAATCGATAGGCTATTGCTTCAATATGCTCCACGACCTTATAAGACCCAAATCTATGGAAAGAAAATCCTCCACTATTGATATACCTTGAAGCGTCAGCACCACCCTTCTACAAATCGCCCTACTCCTCTCCATTGTTCATGTTCCCATTATAACTCCAAAGCTCCTTGTGTCCACCAATTACAATCCCAACTAATCCAAGACACGATTTGAGATGAAGTTATGTGTAGCCCCGCTATCCACCAAGACCACCACTAGCTGCTTCCTGATATGTCCTCTCACCTTCGTAGTGTGATTTGGAGTAAATCCCACCACAGAATTTAGGGGCACTTTTGCCACATCAAGGTGTAGGTGCTCTCTTCCGTCTTCTGCTTTCTCCACTAGTTCCTCACTATTAATCTCTTCCTCATAAACCAGAAGAACCTGGAGTGTGCATTCCTTGACTGATGGCCTAGTGCATATTTCTCATCACAGCGAAAGCACAAAAAATTTTCGCTTTCTTGTCTTGCACCTTTGCCTCTGTAAGGTGCTTGAAGTTGGCCCCTAACCGAACTCCCCCACTCTTCTCTCTTAGTGTCTCCCGCTGAAAAGATATTGTCTGGGCCCTCAATGCTAATGAAATTGAAATACTTTCGTAAGATCCACCTGCAACCCCGTCTTACTGCTTCTCTCCATCTGCCTTCTATCATCTGCTATTTGTGCTAGCTCCATCGTATCCTTCAACCCCCTCAGCTTTAGCAATTGAAGATCCGCTCATATGCCGAGCTTGAGGCCTTTCATGAAATTTCCCTCCAAGACCGCCTCTGAAATTCCCCTCAACCGTCCCGACAACAACTCAAATTTCTCCATGCATTCCATAACGCTCCCCTCCTGAGTCAAGGCAAAGAATTGCTCGTGTAGGTCCCCTTCCCAAATAGCTCAGAAACGATCCAATAAGTAATCTTAAACTACCTTCCTTCTTCTGCTTCCTCTAACGACATCCACATTTGAAAGATTAAATCTAAATTGCCAAATTTGATGACAAAGAAGGATGCCTATTCACACTTGAAAAAAATCTATTTCGCATGTGCTCCGATCTTTATGTCAAGCCCCAAAATCCAAGATCTGACAATGCTTCGCAGAGTCACTACAAGTGTTCAAACACCCCTACAATAGCATCGATCTACATGTTAAGATATATTCCACATGTGCTCCGATCTTTTTATCAATCTCCTGCGAGACTTAGAATGCTTTGCGGATTTGTTAAAAGTGCTAAATGCCTCCGATGATGACCGTGTTGATAAAAAAATTCAATCGAATGGGACTCTATTTTCAAATACCCATAAACCCAAATGGAAATACAATTTTTTTTAAAGTGATTGCAAAATCACTCTGATGATGACCCCGTTGAATGTAAATCTCAACCAGAGAGATCAATTTTCGAAGCCTATTAAAATTTCAAAATGTAATATCTATCAAATTATAAATATTTAAATGGAAATCCCATCACCAAAAACTTAAAACTAAAATACATCCACTCTTCGCAACAGTTTGACAACCATAATGAATTAAATAATAACTTCAACTCACAAATAATAGAGCAGTGGGATTTCGGCACGACTTCGTGGATCCGACGGTCTACAGGTATTTACACGGGATTTTCATTTTTGTTGTGCTGGTTAATGCTTAGAGGTCAACAATTACTATAGTTCATTCTCAGTTGATTAATGGCAAGAAGGGACGTGACATCTGCCCTTTGGCCGGGTGATTTTTGCAGCAAAATGGCACAAAGCTCGTATATTCCCTAATGGTTAAAAGCCTATTGAGTAATGAATTATAGATGCACTCTATAAAATATAAAGCCCTTTATTAGCTAAAGTTGACTTAAATTCATCTTCTTAGACAAATATTCACCCAGGTCTATAAGTATTATTCGACGAAACAACCCATGATTGTCGACAAGGTTCCTTTTGTCAAGTTGGGTCGACTACCTCCTCTAACCAAGTAGACCATGTATCATGACAACCCGGGACGACAGACCAATGGGATCTTGATCGGGCCCGTCTTCATTTCCCCATCACCAGTTTAAGTATACGGTAATCAATTTCAAACCTTAAACTCAAAAATTCAAAACTAAATTCAAACCCTAAAATTGCTGCTATTATATGTTAGATAATTATTGTGACATATTTAATGACCAACCTTAATTAAAAGTTCTCGTGTTATTAGGAGAGGTAATTACCTATAAGAGCTTGCGCCTATGAGTCCTCACAAAATGAGGGCGAAATATCTGGGCAGTGTCTTATATAAAACCCAATGTCTTCTAAAAATTTACCTTGGAACATAAATATGTTAAACTCTCCCCGTCAAAAAAAGAAGGCGCAGAGAGGCCAAGGCACGAATTTTCGGAGCCCAAAAAAATATCAAGAACTAAATGAATGAAGAAGAGAATCAATTTATCGTTGACATTGCACTATAGGAGAAAGGAGAAAGGAAAAAAGGCATTTACATTATAACTAATATGGTTTTGATTCAGATGAATTTTTGTTATTTAGTGTCTCTTTTCATATCAGTGCTAAGAAAATGTATGAACATTAATAACAGAGGCTCAAAAACTACATCCAACCATATACTCTCGCTTGATACTCTGAATTCTCGGGCCAAGTCGTGACACTCCAATCACGGTTTTAAGCTTCTAAAAATGATGAGAATGCAAATATCATTTACAATTACATTCCCAACTATTATCATTGGACCATATGTAAATGAATGGGTCATAGTGTTAGACATAGTTAAAGGATAATTGAGTTGCAAGTTCTATGAGTCGGCAAGAAAATTTATTCATTGTATAATTCTTCCAAGTATATCACATCCAACATAACATTTTTACACTAGTCTTCCACACGTTCTACCAATCAGGAGAGAGGAGTTTTAAGTTGTGTAGATGTGTGGAATCTGATTGTGTAGATCAATCTGGTTGTTCTGTTGTCTTGAACCTCAATGCTTGTTGTACTCGCTGGGGGGTGCGTGGGGTTTACCTCCTGCTTGGGTTCGGGTGCTTTTCACTTGAAATTTTTTTCCATACCCGAGCACCCTAACGCTGCATTCCAAAGCGCCCCAACGCTGAACGGCAAACAGTAGAGCGCCGCAGTAGTATAGATACGGCGCTGCAGCGGTGCAACACAAAGACTTGAGCGCCGCAGTGCTGTGAGACGAAGTGGACGGTTTTCTTTCTCGATTTTCTCTTGTATTTTTTGTATGTAGACAATTGAGAATGGTGCATGTGAAAAAGAGGAGAGAGAAAAGAGAGATTTGTACTTATTTCTCCCAATTTTCTAGTGGATTTCTTGGTGTGGTGTGGCTCCATGGTTTTTCCCCTATTTTGGATTTTTCCATGTTAAATCCCGGTGTCCTTTACTTTTCCGTTGCTTTTACTTTCTTACTTGTTTTGTCATTCCTCATCATCCCCAACACTTGGGTATCTTAAATTTAAGCAATGATGTATTAACTAGACATAGATAAAAAAACAAGGATAGAGCATTCACTTTATATGGCTTGAAGAAGGACCGATTGGTTCAAACAGTTATCACAACAGAGATGAACCCCACCAAGATTATGTTCTTTAGATGGCTTTCAGACCAAATAATGGATAACCTACCCTAAAATGAATAAGGTCTCGCTAAATGTTGTGATTGTATTGCAAAGTACAAAAAAAAATAATAATATAAGTAAAAGAAATAAAAAGAAAGTCATCATACCAGCTGATGGATTTCTGGAGAGGAACTGCTCAACCACAGCCTCATTCTGTGCAACTGTTAAACTAAGAAAAAGCATTAAATTAAAATCAACAACCTCTTGCTTAAACTCGAACAATCCATGAAATGCAGAACATCAAAACTTTTAACAGTGAAAAATAATGGGGACAAGGCATGCACATTTCAAGCTAAGTGACAAAATACATACATTTCGGATAACACAAAGAACTGCAGAACAGATGCAATGCCTCGGATTATAGGAACTCAGAAGATACCTACCTACAGGTGCTGTATACGAGAGAACCACCAATTTTCAATAATCTGAAGCCATTTGTAAGTAGTGCCAGCTGTAGAACAACAATATTAATGTGTAGTATAAATGCTGAATTTCATTTGAGTGCTTATAAAAGTTTTCAATGATACAGTGATGCTCTCATAGCCATAAGCTGAACAAGTATGTGGCAATAAGTGCATTACCCAGTTGAAACATAACTCAAACCATAAAGCTTTATCCTAATTTTCTAGGAGCAAGCCAATAGCATTAGCATCGTCCCAAATGCCTAAAGCATGATTCAAAGGATGATTCTCTCAAATTGCATAGACAGTGCCATCAGTAAATTTAATATGATTGTTCAAAAACCAAGTCAGCTTGCCAAATAAAGTTGGTTGTCAATATTTTGATCAATAAAAAATAAGATGGGTCAGGATAGTAATAAGGGTAAGGGGCGTTGGGCATATGATTGGATTCCGTGAAATAGTAATATGTCAAATGAAGAATGATACAAAAAATAAAATAAAATAAAATTTAAAAATTACCATTCAACAACATTAACTTATTATTATGCTTCTCTTTTAATGGCCAACATTTGGCACCATAAAGCATTGTAGGCCTCACTACCATCTTATAGAATTTTTTCTTAAGTTTGAGGGGTATATTTCTATCACATAACAAGCCCGATGCATTCCTCCACTTCAACCATCCAACTTGAATTCTGCTGATAATATCCCCATCTATTTCACCATCACTCTGAACAATAGATCCAAGATATCTAAAACGTGTACTCTTATTAATAACTTGATCGCCCAAAGTCACAATCCCCTCACTAGGTCTATTAGTACTAAAATTACACTCCATATATTCCGTTTTAGATCTACTCAAGCGAAAACCTTTAGTCTCTAATATTGACCTCCATAATTCAAGTTTACTTTCAACTCCCTCTCTAGTCTTATCAATAAGAAGAATATCATCAGCAAAAAGCATACACCAAGGTACATCCTCTTGCAAATGTCTAGTGAGAACATCCATGACTAAAGAAAAAAGATATGGGCTTAAGGCTGATCCTTGATGTAACCCAACCGAAATAGGGAAATACTTGGTCAAACCACCTTGTGTTTGAACGCAAGTAATAGCTCCTGCATGCATATCTTTAATGATTTAATGATTTGAAAATTTAAAAATTACCATTACATAAAAAAAATCAATATTACTAAAAGATACAATGATGAGTATTGTGATAGGCTTAAGATCTTATTCTATTATGTAAGAAAATGGAATATGTATGCAAGACAGGTGATTAAAATGGATAAGAGCCTCCTGACTACACTATCCAGTAAGAGAAAATCATGAAGCTATTTTAATCCCTATTTTCATGAATTTTTGGTATTTTTACCTCAATTTCATCTTCTAGCAGTAAACACCCTAATTTTCACAAAAGTGGTCTGGTATTTTGACAGAAACATCACTTATGTAGCTAAATGACGGGGGAACAAGGGTTGTGGTGGAGGGTTGCAAGAAAATGCAGCATTGGCTAGCCAAATATATGCCTATCTTCCCTGGACCAATTTTGGGTGTGGGCAAAAAGGAAGCAGTGTAAAGATTAGCATACTCCTTTGCTACTCGCTTCCTAGACATCCATCACCAAAAGGCAAGTAAAACGACTGAGTAGTTCCTCAACAAAACTTGTCCCTATCAAAATCAACATAAGGGACATTGGCCCAAGCCCAATTCTCAAGTTTGGCTGGTTTTGGACTAAAATGAATTGGAGTCATAATAAATGAATAAACCCATACATTGTCATATATTTATTTTTTATGTAATAAACATTAAAAATATTAGAGTATGATCCACTTTAGCAGAAGCTAAAATTTCTCCATCTCATTGATTGGATTTTGACAATGGAGCCTCCAAAACGAAAATAAAGAAGACCACCCGCAAAAAGACCCAAAATTCATAAAATTCAATGACATTTGTTGGGCCTCATTGTTATGAAAGATATAAATCAGATGTGTTAAAATGAACTTACAGAAGTCCATAAAGTTTAATTCAAATTCAGAAAGTTGTGATCTGGAAAATAAAGAATGTTTTAGTATACTTTGTATACCATCCTTTAGTTAATTATAAATGTGAAAGGATGGCAACCAAATAATACCTTCAAATTCTTTGGACTTCTACAATTGTAAGAATAAAAAATTTATGGGTTTATTCAATATATCAATGTGCTTTTCAATCAATTTGAAAACTATCTTGCGCAAGACCAACTTTTACTACCATATTTTTCATCCAGTCCACAAAAAATTTGTAATTCGCTCAGATAAATTCGAACAAACTAAGATCAGAAAGGAAGAATGGTTGGTAGTGGACAAGAAAATTTGCTACAAAACATACTTAAGAGAAAGATCCAGCTTCCTGGCCGCACATATTTAACTACAACGAATATGACATTGAACTTGCTAGACCTCTAAGATGCACCCAAGTTCTGGTAACAAACAAATCCACCTTAAATTTGAAAGAAACTTACTTGCAGACATGTCAAATTTTGCATTCGATTTGGGTCAAGTACTCGGCGCTGGAAAGTTGACCACCCCCAATACTCAAACTTTTGAATGTGCTTGATTGATCCATCATGAGTGCACTCTGCATCTACAAGCACCTAAGTTTCAAATATGAAATAATGATTTGCATGCATACAACAGGAAAATATCAGATTGAAAAAGCAGACAAGGCTTCAAAAGTTATATCAAAATTTGAATAACTATAGCACGCACAATAAGCATCTATATATGAAACCATTTCAAATTAAATGATGATAATTACAATTAGATGTGCTCGCATTAAAACTTTCTCATATTGTTGAATGTATGCCCACAACAATTCAAGTATAAATGACCCTGCATAAATTCTAATGATTCAAGTTCAAAAAAAAGTATTTTATGATTATGTAAATAGTTTGCTAATTGATAGGATATTTTTAAGGAAAAAATGTGTTCTTTACAGTGTTCCTTTTTTATACATGGACTGATTCGCGTGTTTATGAAGCACCGGATTACATGCTTATTTTAAGTTGACACGTGACAAGTTTAACTAAAAGCTAAAGTATTTGATCAGAATTTGCTAAGCCTAAGGAATGTCATATTAGGTTATGGGGGGCAACGATATGTTTATGACCCCAAGAGAGGCAACAAAGGTCCTCAATGTAGTTTAATAACAATAATGCTGGATTTTTATCTAGACTCTATTGAATATTATGAAGAAGCATGAAGGGCCAAGTTTACATTATGATGGCCTAAACCTAGACATGACACATTCTTAGGCTAAAGGTGAGATGAAATATAAAAAAAGAAGATAATTAAGAACTGGAATATTAATATGATTAAATTCAAGATTAGTCATTTAAATCATCAACTAATAATATATTGATCTATCTGTAACATTGTGATAGGCAGTTTGTTATTACTATTCATTTGTGCATATTAATGTTAAATGATTTTATAAATAACTTACAAGTTTTCATGTTGATGATATAAATGATGTTTAGTTTATGATTATACCCAATCATACTAGATATATGTTGTTCACTGTTTTGAGTACTTGAATTTTGTATTAGAATTATATATCTTTTTAAGCCTCAAATCTCGCCAAATTTTTTATCCTGGCTATTTTAAGAAGAAAAAATCGATGATAAAATTGATACTGAGTAGAATCAGGTCAATTTATATTTATGTTTTGTTATATAACAGTAGTAAGATGAGTGTGGACCAAAGGTAATGTATCAAATCAAATCGGAGGTTTATTATATAATGTTTTGGGGTTTATTAGTTGCTTTGTGCGGGTGTGTATCATATAAAATAAATATTTGGAAGGCTTCTTCTTTGACGGGTGTTTTTTTGAAATGTTCATGAATCGTTTAATTTCCTTCATTACATTTACTGGAATGAAGGGGTCAACATGAGGCTTGACACCCCACTGGTAGGATCATATTGATCAATCACGAACTTAATAGCTAGCCAAAGTGGAGAGACATATAATTTGTACTTATATTTAGATCATGCTGCACTTTTATAAAAGTTCCTGATCACTTTTATCCAAAGAACTTTTCAAGGATAAAAAATATAACAAAAATGGACTTTTATAAATGCACTTACATTACTATCCATTCTTTTGGATAGTAAATTTATTAAAGCTTAAACCTATCACATCTAGGTCTATCAAGTCAAAGAAAATTTATAAAAAAAATTAAAAAAAAAATGAAAAAATTATAAAAAAAATATCTAGGTCTATCAAGTCCTCTTCCACCATTATTGATTAATAATCTATTTCACATCCATTAAAACTAAGTATCTATATATGTTTCGCTAATCTTAAGCATCATATCAAGGAATTTCTCTAGCATTCTAACATCCATACTCATTGGTTACATCAACAAATTAGACAATTTAGTCTTCAACAATGAATATAAGTTACTCAAACGCTTGTACACTAAGAAGAGAATAAGGAGATCAAGACCAAAAGTTGACAGTGACATATCATTATGCTCACTCTACCATGGATAACAAAAAATAAACAAGAAAATATTCTAACGAGCGCAATTATTGAATAAAAAGCACAATACCATACTTTATAAGTCCATGTTGCAAGTATTTACAGTAATTAACTTAGAATCCAACATTGCAAGAATTTTTGGAGGCATTGCTTTGGTTGACCGAAGTCACAAATCAGGAATATTTTAGCCACCACGGTTCAAACTAGCAGGCATCTTTAAGATTTTGGATCATAATTTAGGCTGGGTAGAAGGCAATAAAATTGTCTTCAACCTTGTCAGCATTGCTCTAGTAATGTTGGCAATTGGTTTTCATGAGAACTTTAATGCTAGCATATTATACAACTTAACTGGCCCTGGAAAACTAACTCACTGTTGTTATAAATTTTAATAATATTGTAGTCTTATCAGTAGACTGAATATGCAAATAAAGCACTGATTACCTTCTAACCAGAAAAATAGATCCAACCATGTATAGAAGTAAATAAGGTACATTGACTAGCAAGCTCTGACCTGGCTCAAAACAATTTATGATAATTGAAGTTTGATCCTAAGCGTAAAAGACTTGTCTTAATGTTGAAATTTATTCAATGATAGCCAAACAATCAAGCATAGAATTCCCAATGTTTACACTCTCTTCTTGGATGGCATATCAACTCATCCAAAAATATTCAGAAATATCAAAAAGTCCGAAACTGTCATTTTTTTCAACAAACCGCTTATAGTTCAACATGATTTAGGACACCTACGCATATATCCACAATTATTACTCAAACTTGCAAGCCCGCTTACTTTGAAAAACTTAGGCCTAGGTCCCTTGACTTGACCTCCAGCATCTGTTGGATCTTGATGCACAACTGCCAACTATTCAACCATTAAATACTATATTTTTCATCATGAAAATAACTTGACCGAAACGCTCCCAACCAATTATTTGGTCGAGTTTTTGAAGTTTGTAATTGGCACCTATTGGATCCCTAGAGCTCATTGTTAATCTATTAAATCCTGTTATTAGCAATGTCACACCCCTTTTTGACCCCCCTAATAGTCATTCTGAAAATACAGCTTTCTTACCAATACCTATTCTTAACTACCACTATCAGAATCAGGGTGTAAGAAGTAGCCCATTCAGAATATCCTAACATATCACAACAAACCAAGCTTTATACTTCATAACATGAAGCATATGTAATATACCTCAAATAAAATGCACATCTCAATCGAAATATAGAGCTTTATTAAAACTTATTAAATTTACTTACCTACCCAAAAGTTTGTAGAGCTCCCACTCATATCTCTTTATACATCTAAAAGTTTACTTACACAAAATTTCAGTTACACTTTTTCTCTAGTGCCCTACTGGCTTCTTCCCCTTTTCTGCAGTACAACTACTGCTAATGAGCTAAAGCTCAATGAAATACTCAGGAAAGGTATAAGAAATAATAATAAACATATTAACAATTAATGCAAAACATATGTAATCTTTATACTAAACATAAGAAATGCATAACATCATTTTTTGTTATGTTTACTGTTCAACACATTTATATAAGTCATATAATGACTATAGGTTTTTGTACTCATCCAGCTTTCAAATTTAAGATTGGTCTGAATTTTCAGCTTTTAGAATTGAAGTTGTCCTCTCATTCAAGATTGGGTCTGAATTCTCAACTTTTAGAATTTTGAGAGTATAGGCTTACATCGTCAGGTCTTTCACCTTTACTTGTGCGGATCTATTTCCCATATATGACTTATTTTGTCTTTCCAATACCATTCATCTTTAACAATCATAAACTAGGTTATTATAGTCACTACTTAATGAATGAATCAATTCATACATTAATAAACTGAACTTAAAATGTGTCATAAACATAACAATGGTGAAGTTGCAAATATACAAAATTTTACTATTTTCTATAACATTGTTTTGGTATCTCACCTCTTTTTCCATAACAATCAGGTAAAACCGGTTCACCTAAAGTACTCCGATTCCTTTTTTCTTTTGTAAACAACCTAAATAAGCATTTCTTTATTGATACATGCATTAAGAAAAATAACACAAGAAATATGAATATATTACAATTTACCTCAATTGTACTATTCTTCATTCAATCCAACATTCTTTCTCTTCTACTAAAGCTCTTTTCCTCAATTCCCCTCCTTTCCTTTCCTAAATTTAACAACAGCCCCTAATATTAGTAGCAATAGCAGCAGCAACAACAACAACAACATACTAAATTTCAACAATTATCCTTACCTGATTTTAATTTTCTTCCTCTGTTTCCTCACTGATTTCAGCCACTATAACAACAGTAGTATTACCGAACTTAAGCAACCAACAACACATTTCATCACCTCAATCATGTTTTCTGTTAAAACTGCGGCCCTTCGGATTTCAGCAAACATTCTTACTGATTTCTACCATTACAAATCTCTGTGAACATTAAATTCAGCAATGCTTCAGATTTCAGCAAACATTCCTACTAATTTCTACCATTACAAGTTTCTGCACACATTTAATTCAACAACTATTAAGAATACACTTACTGATTCTACAATCCTAAACTTCCTTCCTAAATTCCCTTACCGGAAAATCAAGGTTGCCAAAATCGGGTCACGGGTCAAGTTCGGGTCCAACCTGAAACTAACTCGTCACTGTTCAACCCAAACCCGACCCGTTTTTGCAAACGGGTCAGTTTTTCGGACCCGAACCCAACCCGCCAAGTGACGCTGGCTCCTACATTGGTGTTCGAGTTCTACTTCACTGATTGCCTGATTCGTTCCTTGGACGGCATTCTCGGAAGCAACGAGTCAACGATAGGAATTCGCTCGCATTGAAGAAGTTGTCGGCTCCAGGCTACTTCGTTGTTGTTCGACTTCGCTCCTTCCGATCAGATCGAAAGTTACAACATTTTGATCGGAAGCACAGGAGTTCGCTCGTTGTGAACTATGAACGAGCCATCGGTCGTTGTTCTTCGATTTTGCTCCTTGGATGACGTTCCCTTCCAGTAGGATTGGAAGTTACAACATTTTGAACGGAAGCAACGATGACAGTTTGCTCGCTGAAGAAGTCATAAGCTTTTTGTTGTTGTTCGACTTTGCTCCTTGCCCTT